TAAATATTCATACTTTTATTTTATTATTATAATTTCTATATTTTATATATTTTTTTTCACATTTAATTTTAATTTTACTTTCATTTTGAGGAAACACACGTATTTAATAAAAATATCTATATATATATATAAATACATCTATAATTTCCTTCCTTCTCTCTCTTTCTGTGTCTCACTCTCTCTGTCTCTCTCTCTCTCTCTCTCCCTCTGTCTTTGTTTTTCTTTCTCTCCCTCCTCTTCCTTTTCGCTCAGTGTATTCCACAATCGTCATCTCATCATTATATCATTCACATTCGTTAATATTTTTGAAATTTTTTCGCGTAATTTGTTGATATCAATTTACACAGAGCCCAAGCGCTCTGGCTGGGGCTGTGGCTGTAGCTCTGGCTCTGGCTCTGGCTCTGGCTCTGGGATATAATTATATCATTTCGATTGATCATGCGCCGTGAGTCTCATATGAGATATGAGCTCGCGTTTCTTTCTCTCTTTTTTAGGTATGATTGAAATACCAGACAGAGTCGACATTAAAACGCTACAGCTCCAAACTTCTAGCAGTGTATATGAGCTGCAATTGTACTATGGTCTCCAGTTAGAAGAGGGCTCCAGATAGACAGAGAGAGAAAAACAGGGAGAGAGAGAGAGGGAGAGACTGAGGGACTTGGAGTTCCAGTAGAGCACAGCGGGTGTGCTATATAATTGAAGGACAGCTCTTAAGTTCAGACAGGTGCAGGGAGCACCTTCAGCACTTCGGACTGAATTTGTGGAGGCACTGCTGCCACTTGACGATGATGAATGCGAAGGCCCGTGAGCTGCGATCGAGGTTTGGACATAAATGGTTTGATTTGTTGGCAGCTCGTTGCTGTTGCTGTTGCAGTGTCCAGCTCGATATTTAAAGCAACTTTCACACTACCAACAACAACAACAACAATAATAGCAACAGCAATGAGAACAACACTCAATTTGATGTTGGGCGACAAGCCCTAAAAGGCCAAAACACGCGCACAGCCCAACACACACAAACACGCACACGCAGTCGAACTGCCAGCCGAGCCCAAACGGAACTCAAACTGAACGGCTCTCTAAGTAAAGTATATATACTTTAGTATTTATTTGCGCTGCACAAATTTGGACACACGCTGCATACCAAAAAATGTGCACGTAAAAGGATACTTTTTTGGTCCAATCCCGCCGCACGGCCCGCCCCCTGCCACCCTGCCCGCGGACAACTGGGAACGATGCAAACGCCAATAATTTATAAAGCGGACAATAAAATGTTATCAAAAAATACAACAAGAGGCGCACGCGGACAGCCTGAACTAAATGCCGCACGCCTGCGCAATGCTCAACAAGTTGTTCCCGCGAGAGCGAGAGAGACGGTGAAAGAGATGGGAAGAGAGGGGCGAGAGGGACAGGCGCTGTAGGCAGAGACGAGGCCCTATGCGACGACGCGTATGTTGATGATATATGAAATCATATAACAGCAATCGGCAGGCAGAACTACAACAGCAACAGCAACAACAACAACAACACACACACACTGAACTCTGCAGATGTGTGTAGTTTATTAAATGACAAACACTTGGAGCGCTTTGTGCGCCAAGGCTCGCTGCCTTTGCTTTGGCTTTGGCTTTGGCTGCTCTTGCTTTATTTATGACACTTCAACAAGTTGCTTAGAGAATTTGCCACAGTTTTATTTATGGGCTGCGCTGAGAATTTCATTAAATGAATTGGAAATAAGGGCAGCCTAGACAAAACTGAATTGCCAATTGGAGTACTAAATCTTATTTCTGTGATAAGCATCAGTTGAAGGCTCTTTGACATGCAGAGAGCAAAAGCTGCTAAAAAATTCAGTTCATAAATATAAAAAAAAAAAAAATTAAATAAAATAAATAAATAAATTGAAAACAAATTGTTAAGCTGAAAGCATAGATTTATGTTTCAATTCCAAATAATAAATATAAAAAAAAACAATTAATAAATTATCGAGCTATAGCCATAAGCTTACTGTTAAAAAAATTAAATAAATAAATTAAATATATTTAAAAAAAAAAAAAAACAATTTTCATGCTAAAACCATAAAGTGCATATGAAACTTGCCACAAACAAAAACAAAAAAACTTTTTTATTCACTAAATAAAAAAAATACAAAAATATAAATTAAATAAATCTAAAAAAAAAAAATACACAAATTATTATGCTGACACCAAAAGCTGATAGTTAAATAAAAAATATAAATTTAATATACATATATAAAAACAAAATAAATTCTTATGCTGAAACTTCATATTAAAAACTTCATATTAAATCCGTAACAATAACAATAAAATAAACTAGCTTAAAATAATAACTTTACAAATTAAAAGAAAAGAATAAACAATTTGTTCAGCTAATAGTAAAAACTTAATATTAAATTAACAATAACAATAGAAGAGAAGAAGAATAAAATTTATTTACGTCAGTCTGCGAAAGGTGTCATTTCTAAATTCGATTCCATTTCATGTCTAAATATATACATATGTATATACTATATATATATCCAATTTATATATAAAATCAATACAATGGCAATCGATACCCGTTCAGACTATACAGAAATCGATCATCAAATGTGCACGACACGTTTCGAAATTAAATCATTTTAGTTGAGCATTCAGCGGGCAGATCGATCGCATGGGCCTCCATAAAACTCTATGGCGATCGCGACATTTAAATGATTTTTATAACACATCAGAGAATTTGGCTCTGGCTTTTGTTTTTGTTTTGCCATTTTTTTTTTTTTTTTTTCTTTTTAATTTTTAACGGCGTGGCAAAATTTTAATGACATTGCCCATTGTATTGGGAATGTATATGGAAGAGATTTTAATGGATTTCAACTTGATTTGCTTTTTTATTAAATAATATAAATGAGGCCATAAAATTTAAAGTAGTTGGCAGTTGTTGTTGTTGTTGCTGTTGCTGCTGCTGCCCAATAGCGTGTTAAAATTGGACTAATGGCCTTTAATTTAAGCAGCAGCAGCAGCTGTAGCCGATGGAGTTTCCATTGGTCAGAGAAAAGCTCAATGAAATCGAGTTCCACCCACAGTGGAGCCCTGTTGGACATAAGTAATTGAATAATTGTGCGGCTGCTGTTCAACTTTCTCCATTCAAAATTAAATCACTTTGAGATCAAGATCGTTCAGTAGGCTGTCCCCTTAGCGGCGCCTTAAACAAACAGCAATCCCGAACAGGCCCGACACATTTGCGTGCCAATGGCGTAATTTACCACTTAACATATCAATTGTGCGGCTATTAATCAAACGAGCCAGAGATTCGTGGCGCGACGCGCTGCTGTCCAGCTCGTTGGCTCTGCTTTGATTTGTACGCATCGCTTGTCAAACAACTGAGACAATAGGCGTTGGGCGAGCCAAAGGGAATAAATACAACAAAACCAACAACAGCAACCACGAGATAGAAAACAGTTAAAATTAAAATAAACTTTTTAGAAAAAAAAAAAACAATGCCTCGAGGCATAAAAACATTTTTCATTATATCGCAAATGTCCATCAAAGCATATTAAGAGCATAAAAAGTAGAATTTTTTAACACCTCTTTGTATTGCCATCCCCACTCGAGTTCCCCACACAGATTGTTTGTACGGCGCTCGGCCACAGTAGTCCCCTCCCCGCGGCTCATTGGCAGTTAGACATCCACATCCACATCGACATCGACATCGACCTGTCCGATGTGGCCAGTTGATAAACGCCTGTTTCTTTGGCATTCCTCATTCCTCAATCCTTCATCTCAATCTCCAGCTCGATCGCCGGCTCGCAAGCGCAAACTATTTCATTCAGCCTGTCAAAAGACGGCGTCTAATTGCTTTTGTTTGCTCCACTAAGGTGCGCGCTACATCATTTGTAACGCACTCCAAGCGCAACAGCCGAAAGTATAAAAAGTATAACAACTCAATAAGCGAACCGAACGATTTCAATACCGCCAGCACTTCAGAACACTTAAGCGCCGAAGTAGATCTCAGATCTTCAGCACAGCTGACCCCACTTGACTTCCAGCTTGGCTCAGAAAATCAACTCATTGAGCCCTAAGCAACAGTACTTCTGTTGGCCCGAATTCGTAGAGCTTGCAGAGAAACAAAAAAATTAAAATAAACTGATTTGAGAACCATTTGCAGACTATTTGTGTTTTTTGAATATTGATCATCCAATATCTATATTCACTATTCGATATTAAATTTTATTTTTTTTTTTTTGTATATTTATTTTAAGCGCTGAATCTGTACAATGCGATATTAAATGGCATTTAATATACATCTCGCGTGCTTAAAATTCAACTGCCTAAAAGTAGGCAACATAAAAATAGCTGAAGCCGACATAGCATCCATTGAGGTTGTGGTGCAGCGAATTGAGGCCAAGCATAATGGCCCTTTAATGTATTTATTTAAGCGACTTTTATAGGTTTAATAATGAAACGTCATTTCATTTCAATTTAAAATAAAAACTAAATTTTAATATTAAATTATTTATTTATTCATTTTTATTTTTATTTTATTTCATATATATGCATATGTATATAGTTTGTTTAATAAGACATACGGACTACTCCACGAACCCCTTTGTGAGCTTTTTATTGAAATTCTAGCCATTTGGGCGCCCCTGCTAACTTAGCTTAGTTAATTGTATCAATTAACTAAATACTATATTTACAAATCAGAATTCTGTTCAACATTACAACCCATTAAATATATCCATATAAATTGTATTACGAAGTCTGTGTGTATAGCATAATTCAAGCATTCCAATAAATTACTTAATCAAGAAGAGATTGGCTTATTTTTTAAATATCTAAATTCTATTATCAGCATCATGCGCAGCAAATTATTCGATTTTTTTTTTTCAGACAAAACACATTTAAAACCCATTAGAACATTTGCTATAAAATGCGGAACTTGCGTTGATTCTCGCAAAGAGAATCATGTTGAACGAATGTTGGCCCTTGCTGCTGTTGACGATGTTCGCTCTGCTAGCTGCCAGCTCGGCTAAGGTAAGGCTCCTTCCACTCCCATTATTCCCCACTCGCTCTGCTAATCAATTTGCATTTCAGAATCGTCCTTTGACAATTCAAATTAAAAACTTTACCTGCGTGTCGATGCTGCCATCGCTCATGCCTGAATTCAACTGCAGCAGCAGCAAAGTACGCGGCCAGGCCAGCATGTATGTGAGCCTCTTGGTGACTCAGCCAGTGGAGGAGCTCAGTCTCCAGGTTGACTTTGACATTGTCAAAAAGGATAATTCGAGGATTAGCCTCATGCATGCCAAGCTCGATGGCTGTCAACAGCTCACCTCAGCGTCCAAGAACAAACTACTTGCCGAAGTCTATGAAAGAATTTTCGAAAATAGCAATTTTCCAAAAGCATGTCCATTCCTAGCCGTAAGTTGTGCATAAAGATTATAATGCTCAGCTCCGTAATGTTGTTCATTCGAATCTATTTCTAGAACAAGGTCTACACCATACGCAACTATACAATTACTCTGGACAGAATTCCCATGGCTCTGCCTACTCTGACATTCAACTTCAAGCTAAAGCTATTTCGAGCCAAACAACTTTTTGGCGATGTTTTCCTAGAGGCTTCGGCCAAGTATTGAAATGAGCCCTAGCTCAAGCAAGGGCATATATGATACATAATATATATTCATATGAATTATAAATGCTTATGGCTTTGGCTTGTGTCTGATTTTAAATCTGGAATACAGTCTATGAATTCTTGGCTCTGAACTATTAATTATCTAGTTTATCTAAGTAAAATATGAGTATTTAAAATTTATTTGACTCTGTCAATTCTTAATGCTCGCTGTGATGAGCTCCAGTCGAGTTGATCATTATATCAGGTGCTTTCTATATATGGGGAGGGTTTTGTTTTCTACATAAATACCTAAATATATTAAATTAAATTAAATATTAAATATTAAATATATTGTCCTTTAAAATTAAATAAATACCTAAATATATTAAATTAAATTAAATATTAAATATTAAATATTAAATATATTGTCCATTAAAATTAAATAAATTATTCCAGTGCAGAAAATGTTTTCCAAATAAGACTTTCTCTACCATCAGCTGCCATGAAGAGACGCACATGCAATGATTTAACTAATAGCTCACTTTTACTCTAAATCGAAACCTTTTAAATCAAATGACAATTAATAAATCCATTTATCAATTTCCAATATCCAAAGAGCAACGAGGTCAACATTCAAATAACAAAATTATATTATAAATACAAATTCCAAATATCGAACCAACAAATACATCAATAATCTATAAATCAAAAAATGCGCGACAAATTAATCCATTGATTCTCTAGTATATCATTTCCAGTCAAAACAAATTAAAAGTTCATTAAATTCATTGGTATAAAACGCGCGAATTCTCATGAATATTTTGAAATAATCATGAACAAGCCAATTTGGCTCTGGCTGCTGGCAGTGGTCGCTGTGCCGGCTACCAGCCAGGCTAAGGTAAGACTCCTTGCTCTCTCTCTCTCTATCCCTCTACGTCAAGTAATTAAAGTAATTTCTGTTACAGCGACGTCCTGTTATAATTCAAATCAGGAATTTTAGCTGCTCGAATTATATTCCTTCACTGTTGCCCGAGCTGAGCTGCAGCAGCAACAAGAAGAGCGGCGAGGCAATGCTGAGTGCGTGCTTCAGTCTGAGCGAAGCGATTGAGCAATTCAATCTGATGGTTGACTTTGACATTATCAAAAAGGATAACTCTAAGATAAACATACAGCATGTCAAACTCGATGGCTGTCAGTATCTGAGCTCAGCGTGTAAAAAGAAATTCCAAAGCGGCATCTTTGAGACACTTTTCAAAACCAGCAATTTGCCCAGGGAATGTCCCATTCAACCCGTAAGTTCTGTGCAACTAACTCAATTAATAAAATTAATTTAATAATATAATTGTAATCTAATTACAGAACATACTCTACGAGGTGCGCAACTATACAATTACGCTGGAAAATATTCCCATGGCTATGCCTGCCTTGACATTCCAGGTAAAAACCAAATTCTTTCGACTCAAACAAGCACTGGGCGATGTTCTCATTGTGGCGTCAGCTCGGTATTAAAATGAGTAATACCCTCAAAATATATATGTAAATCTTTATGCACATTTATGTGCGGAACTACAAGCATTGCTATTGATTTTTTATTATTTTTTTATTATTTATTAGAGGACTGATTAGTTACGTTGCCCATTGCATTTTGAACTTAATTTTGAATTGGCGGCATTGAGGCTGTGGTGCAGCGAATTGTTACAGCATTAACATGTGCGCTGTAAGTAAAACTGTAACCGGTTAAAGGACTGTGTGTAAAACGGTTGACGTGTGTCTTAGCAGTCAGCTTTAAAGCAATAGCACTTTACGAATTAACATTTTTTACAAAACTAATGAAGCATTCAAATTTCATACGGTTAATAGAACACATTAAACTGAATAGTTCATATATATTAAATATGCATTTAACATATCATTTCGTTTTTGATGACATTATAATTAAGCGCAGCAAATGAGTTTATTACCATTTTTGTATATAAAAGCGGTTATGAAGCAGCTTTCGTCGTTTGAAGTATAGCTGTAGCATCATGAATTATCGGGCTTGGATATACCTGATCGGTTTTGTGACTTCATTAAGCGTGGCTCAGGCCAAGGTGAGTTTTATTATCCTAGTTCAACCGCTTTCATATCAATATGATCCCATAGCGCAACCTTACCATTGATCTTGCCAATTTGACTTGTATATTAGTCGATCCCTCTTATGGCAAGGAGTTGACCTGTGTTGTTCATAGGAGGCGCCCCGAACCTATGATATCTGCGCGCTTCAAGCTCGTCAAAACCGTGTCGAAATTTAATATACACTTTTATGTGGACATTATTAAATCGGACAACAGTATAATTAAATTGGGCAACAGCCAAGTCGATGGCTGCAAATATCTCAAATTGATGTATAACGATAATATGTATGGAAAGTTGTACAAACGTGTTCAACAGCACAGCAATTTGCCAAAAAAGTGCCCAATACCTGGCGTAAGTACTCCAATTCACTATATCCTAAGCAATTATAATATTCCAATTTGCAAAAGAACAGAACAAACTCTTCGAAATTCGCAACTATACGGTCCAAGCGGATGATTATCCACCAGCAGTGCCCGAGTTCACTTTTCGCCTTACATTGAAAATACTGAAAGATGATAATCTTGTGGCAATAATCTTCTTTGTTGCCAGTACAATCTATTGAAATGTGATTTGCTGAACCAATTTTCATTTTAATTTAAATTCTGAAAATTGATTTCAAGAAAATGCAATAAACGCTGAGGCAAATTGACCTGCATATCATGTTAACCGTTTCTATAGCTGCTGTAAAAATGCTCAAATACTAAATTAGTCTCATAGCAGTCAGCTTTAGAGCACCGCGACTGTATATTAAATTGTGCCGCATAATTCAAAGTTGCTATAAGTGATTGTTTATTATCAACAATATAGCAACAATAACTTTGATAACATTTAAAGTTATAACTAAACAAATATATAGTGTTTTATATCATTTTTTACAATTCTAAATCGTTGACACCATCCAGGCTGCGGTGCAGAGAATTGCTACAGCATTTACATCAGTGCTGTAAAAGGACTATATGTTAACCGGTCCGAGCGTAACATTGCAACAGCCAAGCGGCAAAAGTAATTTAACCAATTCAAATTTGAATTAAAATGTTAAGCAAATTTCGAAAACCTAGTGAGGCATTAAACATTAGTAAATCTATAAAAGCACCGGTGCATAATTCAAAAGTACTTTCTATGTCATGGATTATCGCACTTGGCTGGTGGCTTTTGCAAAAACTGTCCAGCTTATGAAGTGAGTACGCAATAGAATCATCTATATGAAATACACAACCATACAATCCTGAAACGACACAATCGATCTTGTTCTTATGTCTACGTAATAGCTCGCATTAATCACATTCAAGTGCGCTCTCGATTTAGTTCAATAATATAAAGTGCCTAAAAGTATGCAATAAAAATTGAAGTTACAGTGCAGTGCCTCAATGCAAATTCCAATGTCAACAAGTCAAACGGGTAACGAAACGGTTAGCATAGCAGTCAACAGTCAACAGGGCGGGTAATTCAAATAGCAGACTTGGTAGGCAGCAATGATGACTTAAGTATTGGCTTTTGGCTAACTAACAAAGCACGCCCAAACTAAAAGAAAAACACATTAATTTGTTGGCCATTTATATATGTATATATATATTTCGATGCTTCTCCATAATCGGATTATTCTTGAAAGCAACAACACTCGTAAAATGCTTTAAATTTATTGTTTAGGTATTTGTGTATTTGTATTTTTGTTTTTCTCTCGTTTTTTCTTGTCTTTAGTTTAGGAATAGAAATTTGCAATGTATAATACATTATGTATGCGCACAAATTGTTTTGTTAAAAACAATAAAGTAACAAATGCCTTAGGGATTACATACAATAGCCACATGTCACATGCACGCATGCAAGCATGTGCGTGTATATATAATATATATTTATTTATATATTTATAATGTATATGTATATGCTCTTTATTATCGTATTGTATTTATGTATATTAGCCACATGTCATAGAATTAAGCATTAGTATCTGTACAAGAATTGTATTTATGTGAACGAGGGACGTTTATATGGCATGCGAACTGTCGCCATTCTCCAAAATGATGCTGCACATGAAAATGGAGCAATAATAATAATGATAATTATTATTGTTAAATAATCGTGTAGCCATTGCTCATTTATGCTTGGCAATCATTTCACCCACAGTCGCTTCCTCAGCGATTTTCGCTTTCTGCGCAGCTTTTTGTATGTGAATTTGCTCGGTGAGATTTTATAGTCTTCATCGAATTCCTGTTCGATTTTAATTAGATTTTGCAAATTTAATTGGCAGTCCTGTGCGTAATTAACAAATAAATCAATGATTTAATATTAATGGAAATTTCATTATATGAATCAACATGTATATAAATATACATATATACATATATACATATATATATATGTGGCTTACCTCGAGATTCTTGAAATGCCAACGTGAATCGCTCGGTGAGCCGCCATCGCTGGACAATTGGCTGAGACAGGTGCGCATTGTGGGCCAGCATTGGCAGCGCTTGTTGGTTATTTCGCAGCCCGGCTCCAGCACAATCGACTCCTCCTGCGTGCAGTTGCTGAGCTGATTAAAGGTGAGCGCCGTCAGGTGTTGCAGGTCTGTCACACAGAAATTATTGACCACGTCAAAAGCCAGCATTTAATATATGATTTATCAAATATAAATGCTGCAAAATCATTCGATTTCAACAGCATTTTGCGCCATTTAAATCTGATTATTTCGCACATACATACATACATATATATTTATTTTTAAGTTAAACCTCCTGCTGCCCGCCGCTATTGTCCTGCCTGCGCCCACTGCAAATTACATTTGCATTTTGCATTTTGCATTTTCCTATCACAACAGTTTTAGTGCTTGACTGAAATTTGTTGCACTTTATTTACGCATGCAGATTTATACAATTCTATTAAGTTGAACATTTTATGCAACCCTCTATTGTTTAAAAGTGCATATAGGCTTTATTAGATGTTCACTTCGAGTTCTGTTCGTATGACTGCACTGAATTTCATTGCTATCGAAGCTAAGGACTTAAAATGTGATACGGACGAGAAGGCTATACTCTATAGAATATTAAGTATATTACTATACGCCTACTAGGGGCGTGGCGTATATAATTACTAAATGTGTCTAAGATAAGCTTAATGCTAGTATTTTGACATATCCACAATATTCACTCAGATCATATCAAACTGTCAACTCTGGACTCTAACAAAGCTGAGCCTCTAATAGATCCCAATTTAACCCAGACAAATGAAATAATATTATTCCCAACTCATATTCACTCCGCAATGCATAATCTCAATTCATATCAACGTAGGCCTCCCGCTGTTCAAGTAATGACATTCAATTTGGTCAAATGGAAGACTTGGCCAACTGCTCCAGGCGATTAGCCAAAATGCCATGCACATTAACCCGTTGCGTGCCGGCGCATATGCCCATTAGATATTCATATATATGTATATTTGCGAGTCAATAGGATATGTCATAGATGCTTACCCATGCAGACGCCCAGGCCGCTGCTAATGGGCAGTTTGGTGACACACTGCAGGGGCGGCTCGCATTGGCCGGAAAAGCCGCCGGGTCCGCCGCAGGATTCGCCCAGAGTTTTGGCGCAAATGCGACAGCATCTGTGAGCAGAGGGCAGAACAGAGCACACAGATTACGTATGCGAATATCGATGCACATTAAATGAATGATATATGGATGTGGATGTATGGTTGTATGGATGTATGGATGAATGGGTTGGGCCATTCAACTTACTGGCATGGATCCCAGAGCATTAGGCCCTTGCCGGGGCAGTCGAGTGCGCGTATAACATCGCATTCCTTTGGATTGCAGTAGCATTTGAGTCCATTTACCACATTGTTGCTGCCAGCTGCTGCCATTATCAGCAGCAGATAGCAGCACAGATAGATGAGATAGATCCGTGCGTTCAAATGGCCAAAATAACTTCCGTTTCGTCGCATCCTATGCGGAAGTTTCGCTTTGTTGTTCTGTTTGAGTGCCCTGCCGCTGTCGCTGCTGCTGCCTCTGCTGCTGCCTCTGCCGTTGTCGCTGCTGCTGCTGCTGCCACTGTCTGTTGTCCTTCGCTTCGCCGTTGTTATCCTTGTGCGTGCGACTAAATTCCTGCCACCCAATGCCGCAGCTACGCCTCCGACAGCACCACCTGCGTCGCTCCCAGCGGACTCTGCTCTTCCGCCCATTTATAGGCAATTTTTTATTGTGTTTCTGGCGCTGGTTTCGCTTCGCTCTGTTCGCTCTGTTCGCTCTGTTCGTTTTGTTCGGTTGCTCGCCCAGCAATTTGCATGTTGACTGCAAACCAAAAGCGTTGTTAAATGATTAAAATGCCATAAACTATGCCACGCCCAGTGGCCGGGGCTTTAATGGGCTTTTATGTAACGGCCGCATGGCATTTGCCGTTTTTCGGCCAGCGACATTCTCCCTAATTTTACCGCATTACAACTAAGCATACTTTGTTCTACCCACTCTTATTGTGTTTTGTTTTTCTGTTTGCTGCTTTTGGTTCAGCTGTTCATATTTTTTTCGGCCTTTTCACTTTCTCATTGTGGCCAAAACACTTTCGTTCGACCGAGCTAATTGTGTTTAATTATAGTTGACCATCTATTACTTGTGTAAATTGAGATTGATTTGATTTATTTGATTTGCATGTGCGCATAATGCCTAATTATTACCCAGAATCTCTAGCAGAATATTTAAACTGAAATTGTTTCAGGAAACTTTTGAAGAGAGCAGCGTGCGCTCGTCTTTCAAGCGAATTGTTTGAGATAATTTTTCCTTCATTATTCATTTGGTTTTGCATGGCAAAAAGATGTAAACAAAACTGAAGTTCTACTTAAAGCTGCTGACGACAGTCGAGCTCATTTAAATAGACAGAGAGATAGAAAGAGAGATAGAAAGAGAGCGCGCGATAGAGTCGCGTTCTATTACAAGTCCAAACTTTGTTTACTTTGTACTGATTTAGAGTCAGTCTATGATAGCATTTTGAGCATATTCTTTGCTATGCAAAACCTTGAGCCATATTCCAGTGTTGCACATTATTTTGCTGTCATTGCTGTCATCATTTATATTTGAAGTTTGCTGCCTTCTTGTTATTACCTTAGCTGAGTTGGCAGCCAAATATAAACATAGTATAATTTATTTCGTTTATAAAGTCTGTTAAGTTCGCCTAGTCTAAATGAAATAGCCGACTAAGGCCTCTAGGCTGATTAGGGCTTATTTATATAAATGAATAATAAATAGGTAATGAATAAAGCACTAAGTAATAGTGCTGAATGAAAATTTAATGTTATGGTAATATTATAATATTTATTTTATACAATAATTTATTTATTTAATTATTTGATAATTTAATTATTTTATACAATGATTTATTTATTTAGTTATTTAATTATTTTTTATTATTTAATTATTTTATACAATGATTTCTTTATTTAATTAATTTGTATATCATATTTGAGATTTATATTTTTTATAAAAAATTTGTTTTTTTTTTTTAATAACACATAAAAGAGTGTCAACATGGAGATAAACATAAACTTAAAGTAATATAATGTTTTATTGAACTTTTTATTTAATTTTGTTCTATTGTTTTATATTTCAACGAAAAAATATTATTGACACTAAGAATGTCAACGTAAAGCATAAAAAATATACACAGAAAAATATGTCCAAAATATCACTCCATTGCTATATGTAATGCTGATACAATTCATTAGCAGGGCTTCATTAGCTACTGGGCTTAATAATTAATCAATTAAGTTTCTGCATTTGTTTAACGCATTCATAGCGGCATTTGCCTAAGGATCTGTAGCTAATTTAATTTCTAATTTCTAATTTTTCTAACTCTATTTACAGCTTCTATAATATGTTTTAATAATTTCAATTTGAATATTTTATTTACATGCTTTTCCGCCATGTTATTTTAAATCAACTGAAGTTTAACTAACTCTTAATTTAATTTAAATGTGTTTATGCATGAAAACTCATATTTATCAAGCCATTTATGAATATCGAATATATATATATATATATATATATATATATATATATATATATATATATATATATATATATATATATATGGTTATATGTATATTTTCATATCAATTAAGCAGATGTCATTTAAAAATGTGCTGCACATTCGGACAGCGAATGCAATTTTTGTTGAATTCAATTAATTCCATGCGAATAAATTACGGAAATTTCATTTAATTTACATATGTGAAGTGGTATTGTTGTGGCACACACGTACACACACACACACACACATGCACATACTTAAACTCTCGCCTTAAATACAAAAATAAACATTTTTTTGTTTTGTAAAAATTAACTCTGCATTAAACCAACTTTTATTTAAAAGAAAAAAAAAAGAGAAAAGCAAAATCAAAACAAAATATAAACAAAATTTAAAGTTTTAATAGTATTTATGCGTTAGACAGCTCAACGAGCGGCAGCTAGAAAGGATATTTGAAGAGAATGAATTTCCAGCGGCGCCGCAAAGTATGCAACGGAAAATGAAAACCGAATTTGTGTTTGACCATAATCAAAGATACTTCAATATGTTTCAGGGACAATCGATGTTAGTTGGCGGACTTAATGCGGTTTACTTGCGCCGAATCGAATGGTCAAATAATCAACATTTGCTTTTGGTTTATACAGAGCACATATACTAGATATAAACGGATATATATATATATGTACATATAGCATGTACAATGTGAGTATATTTATTTGTGTTTAGAGTGCCAAAGCACTTGTGTATTTGTATTGCCTTTGACCGCACACTCACTCACACACACACCAGCACACACTTGAAATGTTGTCCCATTTATTGTTATTCTGCTTGTTGTTCGTGTGTTTTTCTTTTTCTCTTCATTTTTTTCCACTCGTTTGTCAAGCACTTTTCGATTTGCCATTCAATTTGTGAGCGTGTGTGTGTGTGTGTGTGTTTGCACATTTCACATTTTCCAATTTTTGTTTTTTAAACCAAATACTAAACAAGCTGAAAGTCAAGTCTCTCACACACTCACACACACACGCACACACCCACCTTGACGGCTAGCTTTGACTAGCTCTATGTTTTGGGTATTCGAAAGCCGTTCATTGGCCGCTCAACGTTCGATTCAGACGACCTGCGACGCTCTGTTGATGACGATGATGGCGATGATGATGTTCGTCGTTTGCTTAATAATGACGCACTTTTGGCTCATGAATTTTTCATGCGCTTTTGTCTGCCGCACGCGGCCATTTGTGGCAGTCGACTGACTAGCCCAACTGAACACCTTTTGCCAGTTGGTCCTCCAGTCGTGTCCTGTGCGAGGACATTTTCGCCAACGACCAACAATTTCCCAGTATACGAGGCGCGCTCTGTGCGCCGGCGCACTCTCAGCAGCAACTGAATCTGGCTGGCGGTGAGTGGGTGGTTGAGTGGTTGGGTGGTTGGGTGGCTGGTGTCAAGCCTGGAAGGCAAAATTATCAGACGCAGCAGACGGATATGCCAAGCATTTTGCCTCAAAATATAAGTCATTCAGTTATTGTAATTACAATGGCATAAAGCGCAGGAAGACGCAGCTTAAGGCACATCAAGCAGCACACACACACACACACTGGCACACACATAGAGTTAGCTATTTTGTAGGGCAGTGTACGCTAATGGGCAATTACGAGTGTAAAATCTGATGCTTTATAAACTTTGACGCCGTGTCAGCTGCTAATAAGCATTGCGAATGCCATAAAAGCCGCATGGACGTCCAGTCACTAGGATATTCAGGACTTGAAAACATCTGAGCGGTTATGTGGCTTACCCACATGCCGCAGCCCGTACAACTTGCAACTTTTCCAATTAGCGAAAAAAAGGAAGCAAGAATATACAAACATATATATATATATCTATATATATCTATATCTATATCTCTGTATATATGCATGTGTATATATATATATCTATCTAAAGGAAAACAGCCGTTCGAGCCATCTCGAGTCGAAGTTGGCATTGGGCTTTGCTCGTTCGCTGCTTGGCTCTTGGTCTTTTGGTCTTTTGGTCTTTTGGGGCTTCTTGGCCACAGCAAATGTTGCGTAAAACAACTTGGCGATACGGGCTGCTGCTTCTGGCCCCCTTTTGCCACCAGCCTCCCTCCCACCCGCCATCACTCGCCCCACTTAGCCACTCGCTTGCAATTGAACAAAAGAGCAATCGGGAATTATGAGTGGCGCAAACTTTTTAAACAACAATAACAAAGAAACGAACAAGAACGAAAAATGCCAAAATAAAAATCCATAAATACACACACACATACACTTTCAATGCGCGTGTGTGTGTGTGTGTAGGGTATATGCAGTCGCTCAGTGCTTGAGCACAAATTGATAGAGTGCAAAGCAATGTGCAACAAGATTCAATGCGGATGAACTTTTCTTTTCAATGTAAATCTCGTTCACTTTGTGTGTGTGTGTTCGTGTGTGTGTGTGTGTGTGTGTAGCATAAATTTACGATTATTTATTAAAACATTCTGGCAGAAACTTTTTCTGCCTCCAGATTTTTCACTTTCTCAATTGCTGAATTGTTATATTCCACTTTCTTGAGCATTCATTGCTTTACAACTTTTTGATGACAGTTTTATTAGCCAGTTTTTCCTGTTAGCACCAACAAAAAATTTGTATATGTATACATAAGTAGAGAGGAATACATTTCTTTGCATATTGCCGGCGGGTGTAACTTACGGAATTATGATCTATTTTTTATAGAACCTAAGTGGCTTGATTACCAAGCATGGCTTCGGGCTCTTGACTCATGGCTCTTGGGCATCTCCACTCTTCACTCTCCTCTCTCTCTCTCTGTTCTGCTCTCTCCTATGGGGCGCCATGGGAGAGATATGCTTTTAAGCTTGAATTATTTGTTCGTGGCATTTATTGTTTCACTTTTCGAGCATCTTCCACTAATTGGATGAATGTGTCGGCTGCCCGGACAGCTCGGCTAATGAGGATTTTGGGCTGAAGTCTAGACGAGACAGTGAATCGTGAATTGTGAGCGAAACAAATCTATTTACAAAGGGGCATGCATAATTAATTTTGATACATAATTATATTGCTGAAATTGAATAACTTAATCTTTAGCCAAGGAACCGAGCCCGCTGTACCCTGCAATTAGTCATGGCGTGCTCATTTTTGTACCCTGTTTGATTTGTGTCAGTGATTTCCCTGTGCGTATCTATAAATGTCTAATTGTATGTGTTTCGCAGAGCACTCTTCTATGCGATTTTCATGTAATCCTATTATTATTATAGCATTATATTATTATTTATTATTATTGCTTACAATCTCTGTCTCTCTCTCTTCATATCTGTCTACCTCACCCATTCATTAAATATGTTTCCATCTCTGTTTTTCTTAAGTAATATTACTCGCTCTTTATAATATCATTTTCCCTCTAGCCCACAGTCTCTCTATGATTCTATTTCTTTCTCCCTACCACCACCATAAAATTAAAGAATTCGATGTCTATTTTTTCCTTCGCTCACCCTGTGACGATTTTGCTTCTCGTCTTGTTCTCTCAATTGTAAATCTCTTTATCTCTTTATAGGCATCTCTCTTGATCTCAATCTTCAATCTCAATCTCTAACATTCATTATCTCGCTCTGTCCCACCCTCTCCCTCCGATGTTGTGTGTATTTTCGTCTCTCTCTTACCCACTCTCTCTTTCTCTCTCTCTCACCATCTACGCAAAGAGTTAGCCTATCTTTCTACTTATCACTCTATCTAGCACTCTGGATCTCTCTCGCTCACTCTCTCCCATCCATTTCCTGCATCTTTCACCCTTTCTCTCTCTCCCCCGTTTTTGTAATTTTTCCATTGCTCATTATCTACCCTTTGCAATTCCTCTATCCTTGTAGCTTTCATTAAATTTTAACGAATCGCATAGAAAGGCGGCAGCTAGCATATTTCTATGAATACTAATTATGTTGTGAATAATGAGCTCAAATTCTTGTTGTGTTGTTACCAACACTCACAGCGATCCGCGGCGTTGCCAGATCGCGTTGTTCGCATTAAACAAACATTCGCGAAAAAAAAAACAAACATTTGAATTACAAATGAAGCCAAGCATAAAGCCAAACCAATTTGCGAGTGCCCACACAATTTATTTTAACAATTTTTGTTTTCAAGGGATTTGCGCTGGGCAATTTACGCAATGCCAGTCGAGGGGCGTGGCCAGAGGCTAGGGGGATTTAGTGTTGGGATATGCGGGCCAGCGCGTTTTTAAGGGCAAGTAATTTGCCACTCGTCCATTTTAAATTACATTAGTTAAGCGAAAGGACGACGCTGGTCAAATGCATATTTTTTCTTTCAATTACTTACGACAAGCTAAAAGAAGCGAAGAAGCTGAACGAGTGAGTGTGAGAGAGAGAGAGATGGGTAGGGGTAGGGGCAGGGGTAGGGGTAGGGGATTTGGGATCAAGGCGAAACCAACTAACTGCCTTGCAGTGTTTGCTTAATCAAATTTACATATAAATTGCAGGCAAAACCAAACTTAAAGTCCAAAGTTGATTTCAATTATTTGCGGAAAGCTGATGAAGTTTTCCATAAAACAGTGCAGAGCTCCAGCCATATCCAGTGCCACATTAGCCGCATCCTGCTGCCAGCACGTATTTAGGTTGTCAAAATGTCGACTTGTTTATCTTTAAGACAAGTTGGCAGTCTCCACTCGAGTGTGCCAGCCGCTAAGATACGCTTTGATTGCCTTCAAAGCAACGCAAAATCTCCTATGCTTCAATAGCTCTCGACCAGAGATTTCCAAAGGCGAACCGAGTTTATTTATAGGTGAAATAAAAGCAATTTTCCAATGATAAGCCACAAACTACTTAGCAATATTTTTGATTACGAACATGAAATGAAAGCTGAAAGCTTCATAATGAGCTTCAATTCGTCGAATTTCGAATAAGTGTGGGGATATTCATGGCAATTCATGAGGGAATTTTGCTCAAACTTTTGATGGAAGATGTGATTGACGCGCTGATTATATTTTTTATATTTCATATTTTATATTTTATAATTTATTTTTATATTTTATATTTTATATTTTATAGTTTATATTTTATATTTTATAATTTACATTTTATATTTTATACTTTATATTTTGCATTTCATATATTAGATTTTATAATTTATTTTATATTTTATTTTTTATATTTCATGTTTTATATTTATATTCTATAATTTACATTTTATATTTTATCATTTACATTTAATATTTTTTTTTAAATTTCAGGTTTCATATTTTATATTTATATATATATTACAAAATATTTCAGACTACCCCAAAGAGTACGTTCTCCAACTCCTTCAATACTTTATACAAATGTTATTCCTTAAGCATATTTCATACTTGCCTGCATGCTTCTTCTGCTTCAGAAATTTGGTTTAGCAAATATACGCCTTAAGCATATTTCATATGTTTCATTTATGATACCCCCTGCCTACCCCCTTCACTGCTACAGGGTATAATGATGACGCTGACGCAACGACGACACAAGCTGGAAAATATGCAATGCCTGCTGCTGCTGCTTCAGCATTTGGCTTCACTTCATGCGAATGGAGCGAACGGAGCGAGCGGAGCGCAGGGGAGCATTTCTCGACGGACTTGGAACATCATCGTCATAGTCGTCCTCGTCCTCGTCTTCGTCCTCGTCCTCGCGCTCGTCCTCATCCTTGCAGCCGTCATCCACATAGCCAGCGTCCTGGAAATGAGTGAAGCTAAAGCGAACTGGCTGCCAGAGTGGCATTTAATGCACAGTCAGTCGGACAGCTGCGATAGCTGAACAGGGTAAGGATGCGGAGGACGTTGGGATGTTCTCCTTTTTGTTATAGCCAGCGATAGTGCGCAACATGAGCCAAAATATTTGCTATTGGGTGTTGCTGCCACTGCCAGTGGTTTTGCTGCTGCTGCTGCCGTAACTGCTGCTGTTGCACGTTTCATTGCTGCTGGGACAGGCGACATGTGTGTGGGCAATAGATGCCGTCCTTTTGTCAGGCTTGTCATATTTCATTTCGGCCATAACCTAATACCTTGAATGCGACGCTGAGCACACGCCTGGCCACAAACTGAAAGTCCGTCCTAATGCGTCCCACTTTCGGTGGTGCTAGTGGTGTTGGTGGTGTTGGTGGCGTTGCTGCTTGGCAGAAGCAACATGCATGCAAATTCCACAACGTCTTCATGCCTGGCCACACATGTCGGCCAAGCAGGCTTGTCGACTCAATGAGCAAATGAAATTTATTTCATTA